CCTCCACACACACACACACACACACACACACACACACACACACACACACACACACACACACTTTTATTTTGAACCATCTGAGGGTAAGTTCCCCATTACCAATAAGTACATCATTGTTTATTTCCTAATAATAAAGACATTCTTACATTACCACAGTATAATTATCAAAGTTAGGAACTATAGCACTTTTTTACCCTTTCCCAACCACAGAAGCAAAGCCAGAGTCACACACTGCTATTAGTTGTCATTTTTCTTTATCTTATTTGACCTTGAAATTTGGAAAAGTACAGGTCACTTATTTTGTAGAATGTCTCTCATTTTGGTTTGGTCTGATGTTGCCTCCTGATTTAGGTATGCATTTCTTGATAGGACTAAGAGGGAAATAATGATCCTGTATCACTCAGCATCCAATCAGAAGACAGATACCACATGAGTCATTTTAAGGAAAGATTTAGTATAAAGAGTCGTTTTTTAGTAAAAAATAATTACTAAAAGGGGTAAGAGAGGACTGTACGTTACACACAAATCTTACAGAAGTAGGAACTACAAAATGCAGCTACTACCTTGAGGGCTGAAGATGGATTAACAAGGAAGCAACTTAGAAACTTAAAGGAAGTGCTACTTTTCCACCCACAGGGGAGAGATTCAGACCTCTGAAGAAAGGGTGTGGTTCCTGCCACAGGAACATGCAGCCCACTGATGAGGTGAGAGAAAAATTGCTGGAGGCTGTGGGTCACTGGGTCACTGTTGAACTGTCAGTGGGAGCCTCTTTATGGTGGCTTCTTTGTCCTTTGGACTTGTCCCCATCATTTTTTGAGCAGTTCTTTACTTTTGGGCACATAGATGTTCCATGTGGATCTTGAACTTTTCTTACCCTAGAATCAATCATATCTTGAAGGCGGCCTGGTTCCTTTTAGTGGAGAAGGGTATTGAGAAACCAAGATCTGATTACAGTGTGTGTTTATTGCTACTTGTGTGTCCTTGCTTTGGTCCCTCTCAGCAGACAGTTAGGAAATCTATATATCTTTCCAAGAGTGGGAAATCAGCTCCCATTATATTCAACATATTTATATGTTTGTCACACATGAGAAAACACAGGAAGTAACTTTATAACTGGTAAAGCAAGCCTACTAATTAGAGTTCAATGTTTGTTTAAAGTTTTTTTTTGTTACTGAGGTAAAATGTATAAATCAGGAAATTCACAACGCTTTTTAAAAATTATTTATTTATTTATGGCTGTGTTGGGTCTTCGTTGCTGCACGTGGGCCTTCTCTAGTTGTGGCGAATGGGGGCTACTCTTCCCTGCGGTGCGTGAGTTTCTTATTGCCGTGGCTTCTCGTTGTGGAGCACGGGCTCCAGGCACGCAGGCCTCAGTAGTTGTGGCACATGGGCTCAGTACTTGTGGCTCGTGGGCTCTAGAGTGCAGGCTCAGTAGTTGTGGTGCACAGGCTTAGTTGCTCTGCGGCATGTGGGATCTTCCTGGATCAGGGCTCGAACCCGTGTCCCCTGCATTGGCAGGCAGATTATTGACCACTGCACCACCAGGGAAGTCCCACAACTCTTAAGTATAGAATTCAGTGAATCTTGACAAATGCATCATAACCGTAACCCCCCTCTAATCAAGACTTAGCAGATTTTCATCACCCAAGAAAATTTCCTCATGCCCTTTTCCAGTCATTCTCCTAGGCCTAGAGGCAACTATTGCTCTGAAATTTTTACAATAGATTAATTTTGTCTTTTCCAGAATTTCATATAAAATTGAATCATAAAAAAATATTGAATCATATACTATGTTTGGTTTCTTTCACTCAATAAGATGTCTGTGAGGTTCTGTTGTTACATATATCAGTAGCAGGGTTTTTCTCTTTTTTTGGCTAGATAGTATTATATTGTATGAATATTTCACAACTTGTTGATCTATTCTTTTGATGTGTATTTAGGTTGTATCTATGTTTTCTTCCAAGGAGCTTTATAGTTTTAGCTTTTATGTTTGTATCTGTAATCAGTTTTTTTAAAATATTTATTTTGTTTATTTATTTGGTTGTGCTGGGTCTTAGTCGTAGCAGCTGGGCTCCTTAGTTGTGGCTCACGGGCTCCTTAGTTGTGGCATGCGAACTGTTAGTTGCAGCATGCATGTGGGATCTAGTTCCCTGACCAGTGATCAAACCTGGGCCCCCTGCATTGGGAGCACAGAGTCTTAACCTCTGCGCCACCAGGGAAGTCCCTGTAATCAATTTTGAATTAATTTTTTTGTATTGTTGAGGTAGGGTCGAGGTCAGTTTTTTTCCCACATGGATGTATAGGTCTTCCAGTAATGTTTGTTCACTTTTCTTTCTCCCTTAAGTTGCTTTGAAACTTTGTTGAAAATCAGTTGACTGTATACATGTGATTCTGTTTCTGGACTTAATTTGTTCCGTTGATCTCTTTGTTCATTATTATGCCAACAACACACTGTCTTGATTCTTCTAGCTTTATAAGTCTTGAAGTAAGTTAGTGTAAATCTTCCTGTTTTTTCAAGATTGTTTTGGCATTTCCATAAATATGTTTAGAATCAACCTGTTAATTTCTATTTAAAAAATCTTGCTGGAATTATAATTGGGATTAATGTGAATCTAAAGGTAAATTTGAGGAAAATTGACATTTTAACATTGTTGAATTTTACAGTCCATGGATAGGATACACTCTCTATTTATTTAGGTCTTATCTCATTTCTTTCAGCTATGTTTT